TTTTCCTGTAAACCTACCACCTGGCTGTGGTCCTGCCCGTCTGTAGATTTTGGGCTCGGTCACCTCCCCCCTGAGGCGGGCGGTGCTCCAGTATGCCGTCCGCAGGAAGCAGGCCGAGCTCAGCAGTGGGGTTGTGCGTAACAACAGCCTCTGGGACCGACTGCTATTCAACAAGATCCAGGTGGGGGCGCCACTAGGCCACACAGGGAGCAGGGTTAGGCTCCAGATGGGCCTTCTGAATGCATGTGTCTGTCAGAACTGTTTGGGGGAGGTTGGGGGGGGGTCAGGGGGGGTCCTGCCCATCTGCCTCTGTCAGATCAGAATCCGCTTCTCAGATCAGCAGCTGGATCTCGTTAGTAACCAGCGTCAAAGTCATACTGCTTTCAGGATGGGATTTTGCTTCTTTGTCTTAAAAAGGGACTGACTATGATCACAATTTTAGGCTATTTTGGGGACTTTTTCTGAATAATTTTTTATTGAATCTCAGAATTAACTTTTATAAATAGCTCTTCAAAACTCATTTCCGTATCCAAAGCTTAAGGAAGTACTTAATTTATGCTACATAAACATTGTCTTTTATATCTGACATTCTGTTTCGGTCTTGAAAAAAACCTGAATGACAAATTTTTTTTTAATGATTAATGTAATTGCAATACTTAATGACATATAACAGTGTTTCCTAATCCAGTCCTTGGTAACCCAGTCGATCCACGTTTTTGCTCCAACCGACATTTAATAATTTAATAATCACTTAATAAATAAAATAACTTAAGTGAGACATTCTCTAAGCTGGAGATCCACACTGAAAGCGCTTGTGTCGCAGGGGCTGTTCCCTTTAAACAGCGGACAAGGCGCGGTGGACAGAGTGTGTACCGAGAGTGTGGACCGTCTGTGTTTGTGTTTGTTTGTGCAGGCCAGCCTGGGGGGGAATCTCCGATTCATCCTCACTGCCTCCGCCCCCATCTCTCCCACTGTGCTGTCCTTCCTGAGAGCCACGCTTGGCTGTCTGGTGAGACAAACACTTACCTCCTGGTTATACCTCCTCTGTGCGTACATACACCCTATCGCTGGCATCTGACTGCACTGTCTGCGCAGATCTTCGAGGGTTACGGGCAGACGGAGTGCACAGCTGGCTGCACTTTCTCCATGCCTGGTGACTGGACTGCAGGTGAGCCTTGTAGTTGAGCTTTGTTGCCCCCTTGTGGAATGTTTGCATAACGCACACTGGCGCTGGACTGTAGCGACCTTGTTAAAGCTGTCAGACGAACCTCGCACTGCTTTTCACTGTCAGCATTGTTCGGGTCTGCAGTTTTTTTTTTCCGGATGCCTCGTCGTTAACGCCTCGTCTGTGTTGGTGACCTGAATGTCGTTCATTGTCCATCCACCTACCCAGGCCATGTTGGCGCTCCCCTTCCCTGTGCCATGGTGAAGCTGGTCGACATCCCTGACATGAACTATTACGCCAAGAACAGGGAGGGAGAGGTGAGATGGGGCCGGTGAGAGGCGTTCGCTAAGCCAAGCCTGCGACACTCTCCCATAGGCCACGTTCTAACTGTACCTGCTGTTCTCTCTCCTTTGACCCGTCTGGCCTGGTCACAGATCTGTATCCGGGGTCACAGCGTGTTCAAGGGATACCTTCGTGATGAGGCGACGACGGCCGAGACATTGGACTCCGAGGGCTGGCTGCACACGGGCGACGTGGGACAGTGGCTGCCCGTGAGCTCCGCACGCTGCGCCGCTGCTCCGCGGACCTGCCGTGTTTGGGCGTCTCGGCTCGCTACGGCAGTTTGATCTGACCCTTTGAAAAAGGAGTAAAACGGCTCCCCTTTACGTTGCCGCTCTACCTTCCTCAGAACGGGACTCTACGCATCATCGACAGGAAGAAGCACATCTTCAAGCTGTCCCAGGGCGAGTATATCGCCCCAGAGAAGATCGAGAATGTCTACACGCGCTGTGTCCCCGTCCTTCAGGTCTTCATCCATGGAGACAGCCTGCAGGTACTGATGTATAAACCCACCCGCTAAGCCTGGCGTGAATCACACGTGTATTTTCTGACTGGTGACACAGGAACTCTGAGCACTAGTGGAAAAATTCCTTCCTTTGGTCAAATGATTATGTCCTGTTTAGTTTCTGTAGGGTTATATATTTGTATGAAAACTGAAATTTGATATTATTTTTTGTCTGGGCCCAGTCTTTCCTGATCGGTATAGTCGTGCCGGACCCTGAAGTGTTCACAGAGTGGGCCCGAGAGAGGGGCATTGTGGGAGCCCATGAAGAGCTCTGTCAGAATCCAGTAAGTGATTAACAAAGAAATGTGCAGGTGCCCCAGGGCATGTCGTTATGGGAACTCCGCTGACTAGGCGGCCGTTTCCCCTTGATGCCATTTTTGTTTGTTCAGTGGTTCGTTTGATGGTTTATTCGTTCTGGTTTGTTCTTCTGGTCAAACTGAACTATGTCACTGAGAATGTCTGCTTCAGAATTATTTTAATCACCAAAGGACAAATAATCACTTTGACAGCATAATGAGATACTAAGGTTTTTTTCCCAGGGTGATTTTTCTCTTTATAACGATATATTTTAGCTAGCTAACAGACTGTGAACGGTTACCTTCATAAAAAGTAGTAGATTTAGGGTGTATATCTTTTAAAATAAAAGTCATTTCCATATAATGTATGTATTTCCATAAGCACATTTTGCTTGTTTGTCGTCCAATACTTGTCAGCCATTATCTGGGTGTACGTCACCACCTGGGTACATAAGCCGGCTGTGGTTCTCAGACGAGGGCTTTAGCAATGTTCTCTCCTGGCTTCCAGGACGTGAAGAAAGCCGTTCTAGAGGACATGACGGCAGTGGGCAAGGAGGCCGGTCTCAAGTCCTTCGAGCAGGTGAGCGTCGCTGGACCAGTCTACTGCTCTTGTGACGAAAGCTGGTTATTTGATACGATTCATTTACTAAACTGTACATGAAAAATGGCAGAATACACTATAGCAGATAACTGCCAGGTGTCTCCCTCGACCATAAGCCGTTAACTGAGCCGAGTACGCCCCCCCTCGCCCACCAGTCTTTTGTCCTGCCCTGTGAAATTCTACAACCTCCACCCTCTCACCCCAGGTGAAGGATCTGCACCTGCACCAGGAGGTCTTCAGCGTGAGCAATGGCCTGCTCACCCCCACCCTAAAGAGTCGCCGTGCCGATATCCGCAGGTTCTTCCAGGAGCAAATCTCACAAATGTACAGCAAGTCGGCCATTTAGCGAGCCCCCCCCTCCAGGGGCGCACATACCCGTATCCCTGTACTCGGTGAGGGGGGAGTCCGCCCCGCAGTAGTGTTCCATCGGAGGACCGCACGTACGTCGCCTTGCAGCTCACACTTAGATTCGCCGTTTTGCTGCGATGGAGGAGGGCGCGTAGAGCCCCTGTAGCTGATCTACAGAACACATGGATGAACACAGAAAGCTTCTGCCTTTGCTGCCGGGAGCAGCACGTGGACCTCAAGGTGAGACTCGGTGGTGGTGTGGGTGTGGTTGAAGATGGCTGGGGGCCCTGAGACACCAACCCATTTGGGGCTGCGGGGGCGAAACTCGGCAGATAGGCACGGGTGGGGACCACAAGCAGAGTGGATGCGCTTTACTAAGCGGTAGATCTCTCCTGTATGCAATTACAGCTATTGTTACCGGCCCACCCCCCAGATTCTGGACCTACGTAGGAAAATGTTTTTTTTTTTTTTGAGAGAAAAATCCACCATCGTGAGGTTAAATGATTTTAGGCACTTGTCTTTTTTTAATGTGTTCAGTGAGCTTCTCATCATCAAGATGTGTGTTTCATAGCCAGAGCCTCAGCGCCCGCATTTCGGACTCGGGCTGGGCGGAGCCTCTGGCTTTCCCTCATCCCAGCCCAACGCCGCAACAAAATCGCCTCGCGCTCAGAAGTAACGTGCAGCACATCTGTAAAAGGAGGGTACATTATAAAGACTGTAAATACGGAGCGTGACAAACTGTAAACACTGTGAAACTAATTCCTGTACTTGTAGCGAGTCCTGTTTGGTGGTCTGAGTTAATGGAATAAAATGGGATTATCGATTCCTGGGTGTTAAGCACGCATATCAGTAACAGTGTTTCTGTAACTGCAGACAGCTGAATGTTTCGCTGTGATGGCCTTTCTCTCGTGGCCACCTGTAGCTGACAAATGAAGGTTTACTCTGAGTTTCCATCCTCCAAAGCAAGGCTAAATTTAAAACCTTGCCCCAACATGCCTGCCGTATTTCAGGCACTACTCCAGGCCTGCAGACTGAGGATCCATGCCCTGCTTCTCTTGGACGTGTGAGAGACTCTGTGGGTGCTGGATGTCGTACTACAACTGACTGTCAATAGCCACTGCTGAATGCTATGGCAGAGTGCGGCCAGCAGGGGGCACCAAACAATCGTACGTCCCAGAGGACCAGCTCCATAACATGCTCATAATTACCATGTAAACTGCAGTGGAATATAAACCAGTTATGATTATAAAACTGTATGCTACATATAGCAGCAAGTATGGGAAAGAGGTGTTAAGTATTAGATGCAAATAATGTTGAATTAGCGCCCCTGCGTTTTGGATTACTGTGTGTAAATGTGCTGTTTCCTTGGTGAAATTGGCGGCGGTTACCGAGAGGGACTCAGCTGGGGAGAAAATAATGAGTGAGGGAAGGTAATCTGGGGAGGCCGGGGCAGCAGAAGCTCAGGGGGCGAAAGGATCCTGGGGGAGGCTCAGGGGTGGAGAGAGACCCTGGGTGGGGAGGCGGACAAGAGGAGGCGACGGGGACTGGAGGAGCAGGGGACAGATGGTGAACTGTGAATCAGCAAGTCAGCGCGCACGTACGCGCGCGCACACACACACACACACGGGACAATCCACAGGGTGGCTACTGAAAGACAGAAAATTCAGATCAACCTGGGGGGGGGAGCAGTTAGAGTTGGACGGTCTCATCTGAGATTCTTCAAGAACACAAACTTCCAAGAAGAAAAACATTTCTTGCTATTTATTCACACATCGCATCAATTAGAAAAAAAGACCTACAGGCTGATTTCCTAGAACAGTGTCATACTTTATAAATAAACAGAAGGACAGCATCATGAAACAGATTCATGTAAAACTGGTAAATCATAGGCTTCGATATATAAGGTACTTCTGTAGGCATGTCGTATTGCTGTTAGCCGGGACCATGGCTTAACGGTAAAAACCTACGCAGGAGAAATGCCACAAGGCAAGGGTTTGCTTTTCAATTAACATTTCAGGAAATGCAGCAAACCTACGGTTAAAGTTAATGCTGTGAGCCCTAATGCTGATTTAAATACACGGCCATTCTGGTGAATAGTGCTGTAGTGTTTGTCACAAATTAAAAAAGCCGAAGCTTGAGATTTGAGCGGTAAGGCACAGTTTTTACAAAGTTACAATGACCCATATCACCCTAAATTAAAAATTAACATCAACTTACATTAATTCATTAACATACATTTTAAAAAAGAACAAAACCCTGCACTTGCATTAACATATGGAACGTTAATCACAATCATGGCTACATGATTAGAGTTGGGAGGGCACAATACTAAACTTACCAAAACACAATCTCTGGCCCCTATCACAAAGTAACAGACCACTGACATAATAAGAGGGCAGGCTAATTTATATTAGAAAAAAAATTAACCGAAGAAAACAGTACGGCAAGTGCCACTAGAGGGCGATGGAGCTACATGTTTGCTAGGAAAGCTGAGGTTCTATTTGTGCACCAGTACCGGCACTCTTCATGAACGAGAACATGAACGTAGACCACAGCCGGGATGCTCACTCCCGAGCGACCGTCTTACACCGTTTTTCCACTCTAACAATTTGTCTGTTATGCTAGTGCACCGCAACACATGCAATTATTAGGGCACCTGAATATCAGGCGTGGGAGAATCAAGACCCCGCAGGGAGAAGTCGGGGATCCTCGTCCCACACAAACGGAGTCACTCGGGATCCTTTAAGAGGACATTTGGGGGAAAAAGGCCAGACTGTAAGCAGCCCATAAATATTGGTATTTAAGTGTCTCGAATGGCACTTAAGGTTTTCAGATCACACTTAACCGTCAATCACCTGGCTGTAAAAATAACATTCATGAAGAAGATTTTAACAGCTTTGAAATGCTGGTCATTAAACAAAGTAATTCATCAAAAGGTCATGCTAGCTTTTGCCTGGATTTCCATCTTCAAAAACATACTAATATGCCACGAGTGGCGGCAACGATGTTGCTCATGAAATAATGCATGACCCCTAAAAACAATACAGTCTTTGGGAGTGACAGCTTGATGCCGATGGCTTTTAAATGTAGCTAGAGTTTAAAAACATGAGACTTGATTAAGTGATTTAAGGGAAGCGAGGCAGTTTGGAAAGCGGTAGAGAGAGAGAGACCGTCCTCAGTCGTCAGCGACAATAGACAGGGCCCTCAGCTCGTTAAGGCGGGCCTCATTCTCCCGCTCGCGCTCCGGGTCCGTCAGCCGCGCCTGGTCGATCTGCTCAGTCAGCTCGCTGAAAATCTTGTGCATCTCGGTGAAATAGACCACCTGGGGGGGGGGGGG